TGAGTCAGTGGCTCAGGCAGGATCTCTGCTGGGCCCTACCCTTGTTTGTTAAAGCCTGCTAACAGCGAAACTAATCTGACCTGGGGTTTACTTCACTACCATCCAAACAGGGCCACTTACATGAAGCACAAACATTAGAAGACTGACAGCTTCTGGAAGCCTGTATATAAACGCCAATTCATCGATTATGTTAGTTACTTCCATCTGACGAAAGCTGATTGTTTTGATAGGTATTTGAGGAAGTGGTTAGCAGTGTAACTTTGTTTCTTATTTTTTTATTATCTTTAATCAGATGAAGCTGAAACTGTGGCTGCAGCTGCTGAAAGTTACAAATTTATTATTTCTATCATCAGTTTTTTCCAATAAGTGAAAAATCAAACTGAATCTAAAGGTGTTTTTCCATCAAATAGTCCAAATGTTCAGTTGGAACATTTGTTACATTTTCAGCTGCTGCTTTCATACTGCATTGTGCGAAATGAACCAAACCCTTTGAGAAAGCTATTCACCTCTTCGCATGCGGTGGTGTTGCACCAAACACCACTTTAAGAAATGACATTAAAACCTCATAAGACACTTTACGCAATTTCCTTCATGAGTTCAGGTAGGCTGAAAATGTAAGCAAGGATGGAGTGGTGTCAGATTTTAGTGGTTGTAGGATTTCTCAAAAGACCGTAAATCATTTTTCTCACTAGTGCAATACACATTTGTTTTGGTTGTATTTACCCAGAATGCCTTGTGCTATAGTTTGATTTTGGAGCGGTTTCTCATGACATTTGCATTTGAACCGCATCAGAGTTCCTTCGAACCCAACAGACCAAGATTTGTAGGCACACCAGTTTGCTTTTTTTGGTCCGCATCAGAGTTTTATCACACATTCACACCTCCCCAAACAAACCAGACTTTCTATACAAACTAGAGTTGAATTAAAGCGAACTAAATAGGGCTCTTACTAAGCCACTCTAAAGTTGCACGTAGGATGAAAATCTTTACCTCAGCACTGCTTGGACTTTGATCCCAGTCTCAGTACCATATTTTCCGGACTATAAGTTGCTCCAGAGCTTACCTCTGGAGCAACCAGCCATAAAATGCTTTTTTGAGGGAAATTTATTTGATAAAATCCAACAGCAAGAACAGACAATTTAAAGTAAAAGTAGAATAGAGGCAACAACAGGCTGAATAATTGTATGGTATGCTAACGTTACATGGCAAACAATGAACAACTCTGCTAACTCTGAAGATAGTTAGCATACCATAACATGTGATAGTTAACAAAATAACATGTGATATATAATGATGTGTTAATTTCCACACATAAGAGTATAAGTCGCACTCCCCGCCAAACTATGAGAAAAACTGCCGCTTATAGTCCAGAAAATACGGTAATTACCAGCCAGTTACCACTTAAGAATCGCCAATACAAAACTAATGTCTTACCATGCATTTAAAGGCATGTGAAACACCAGATTCAAACTCCATTAAATATGCTGGCGCATGCATCAGTGTTGACTTTTTTTCAAATCATCTTTGGAAAATGAGGTTACTGGTTGAGTGACATTCTACTTGGTTTTCCCACTGTTTATAATACACATTTTGTCTGCAAGAGTTTGTTCGTTTCCATGTAAATAAGCTGGATCAGAAGCTGCACCATCCAGCAAAATGTACTTAAAGCACTATTTTCATTTGATGAAAATTCAGATAAAGGCTCGATGGACAAATGTTTTTAGGTACAGATAGGAAAAAGCTTAGAGGCAACATTCATTTTCTGTTGGCTTGAACACACAATGAAGGGAAGTACTAACTGTGCTTCATACAGACATGTTTTTTTACAATCCTTTCAGAAAAAAATAGAACCAGTCAAACTGATATTCAACAGGTCAAAGTTTAAAGAAAACAGAAAATCAGTATCACCAAGTCACAAGTCTGATTGGTGCATTGATTATAAATGTGCATCTTAACATAATGATCTGTAAATGTGAAGATGAAAGAGTCCAGCAGTCTAATAAACAGACTGACATCCTTGGCAGTTAGCGCTGGATACGCAAAGAAAAACAAAGCAGCATGGAGCCATCCTTACTGTGTGCATAGTGAGTCAATTTAAGAAAGTACCGAAATACTTTCATGTCTACACATAAACACATGCAGGACATTGCAGCTAAATGTACTCTAGCTAAACGAAAATCATTCAAGAGTGTCAGGAGTGTCCAGCTTATGAGGAGTTTTTACAGAATTGTAAAATCAGTCCCAATTAGACCAATAAGAAACGGATAGAGAGTAATTGGCTGTATCCATGTGTGGAGCTACACTGCCCTGAATAAAGAATAAAATCAAATGCAAGTTCTTCAAACAATTCAAATGTGGCAATAATCTGTGGATTTTTCAAGATGATGGAGGACTCCATCACAAGGATGATGTGAGAATAGTCTTACTACAGACCTGTAGTAAGGGGAGCCAAAAACTATACACAGATATTTTACCTGCTTCTTATAAAAGACACATTTGTGATAGAACACCATTCTTTTTGTTGGTTTTCATATATGGGCTCACATTTATTAAGCACTGTAAGATACTAATAACTCCAGAATATCTTTCTTAGATCCTCCACATTTTATCGCAAGACTTTAACCAGTTTTTCCCTAGATTGGACTAACACTGAACAGACCTAAATAAATAAATACATAGATAAAACAACGACCAGCTCTGTACCAAATAACTAAACTACACTTACGCGTTCTACTTTTGCATCCCAGTGGTCTCCTGCTGCCATCTTGTGGCATTGAGACGCCACTGCACTTAGTCCAGCCAGAATTGGTCCTCTTAATCGAGAACAGCCATTGCAATTCTGCTGGTCTGCATATAATTAAACTGTGTTAGGAATGCTGGGGTTCTAACCTGGTTCGGTCCACAAACCAAGTTTGAGCCACTCACCGTCTTATGTCTTGTTGTCGGACTCTGCCTCACCCACGAAAAACTTCACCTTAATGTCGGCTTAATAAACTCAGATGAAAATCCACACAATTAATGTTTGCAACAGTAACAACAATAATAATAAAAATAATAATGTTTTCAAATGCAATATGTAAAACCATCCTCTTCATGGGACTGTCTTGAGAAAACAGAGTAGCCTCTGAGGGAAGATCTTTCCATTCAACATCCATCAGCATACAATAAAACTCTTTGAAGAAGCTTAATTAATGAGTTACAACAACATTTAATTTCCCTTTGAGATTAATAAAGTATTTTTGAATTTGAACTATGTCAATATTACTCTCTCCATAGAAACAAAGAACATCAACAAAATGGATTTTCTAAAAGTAATTCTCTCAAACTAAAATAATAAGTTTTCCAATCACCACACCACTATTAATATTGCTGACTCTTTCTGAAAACGAAAATATATTACAGCTCCAAATATGCAAGGGACCAACACGACATTTCATAACTCATTATTCAAAACTCCTCTTCCTTAGAAAAATAAAACTGAACAACAATAAAAAATATAAACTAAACTATTTAGTAACAACACAGGAGAAATGTATTTCTAAAATATACATAAACCGAAATATATATCTAAAAACTCTTCTAATCTTCAAGTATTAAGGTTTTATTTCAAGTAACGTATCCAAAGAGACCAAATGTGTTTTTGAGGCATTTTCTGAAACATGGAGCAGGCACTGACTTCTTCCAAAGATCTGACTAAAACAAAACAGAGTTTCTAAAACCAGAAATAACTTTTTGAACCACATAAGCAGTTAAACCCCCACAATCCCACCAAAAATGTTAACTGTGTAAAAACTGTGTATTCCATGGCACTTGTATTTATTTATTTATTGTGTAGTATAAGGTTTTAGCTCTGCTACACTGGTAGCCAAGTAACAACATTTTGTTGTCAAGATTCACCTTGTGTTTTTTTTGTACAATGTCAATAAAGGAAGTCTAAGTCTAAGTCTCTAACAAATTAATCACAACCGGACTAATTGAAACCGAGATCATTGTTTTTCTAATGAATTTTAACATTCATTGATAACATTCAACTAACTTCTGAAAATAATACATCACTAGAATGCAATGGAACAAAACACTGTTTTTTCTGGTCTTGAAAAAAACAGAAATAGATAATTGTAAATTATTTATTTATAATAAATAATTTAGTTACTTTGTGAAATCAACAGATTGTTCTTTACAGATTTTTTTCTAAGAATAAAGTTGTGTGTTGTCATTTAATCAATGTATCCACGTTGATATACCACATTTTCAAAAAGCTGGCTCCAAAACTTCTTTCAAACCAAAACAACTACAGTAAGCATTACTGACATTTTCCATCATTTCTAATAACTAGCATATAAATCACAATACAAATTTAATTAACTCACAAATATGTTACATTCCAAAAATTTTAATTATACCTTCCTTATACCTTGAAGACATTTTATATAATTTTCCGTATGTATCCATGGAAACTAAATATGTTTGGACATTTTTCAAGAAAAAGAAAAAAAAATGACAAAGAACCATCCAGTTTGCCAAGAATTGGACACCAAAGTCATAAAAGCTGATTTTCACAATGAAATTGTTATTTTCTATTTGAAAATCAGCTTTGATTGATGATCGGTACAACACACACACACACACACACACACACACACACACACACACACACACACACACACACACACACACACACACACACACACACACACACACACACACACACACACACATATAATCCTTATTACAGGGGTGACAGTGGTTGGAGTTTGCCCTGCAATGGCCCACTTCGGTTGTTGTGTCCTTGGTCAAGACTCTTCTGTCACTTTCCTGCTGGTGTTGGTCAGAAGGGCCAATGGCTTGAAAAACAGCTGTGGCTACAATCCATTAGCTTATCATCATCACTGTGTGAACTGAGTGGAAATGACAAATTTTATGTTAAGCGTTTTTTAGATCCCTAATAAACCTCTACAAGTCATTGCCATGGAAACCAAATGTTTTGTCAGGACATTTTAAAAAACACAACGACAAGAACAAGCTGGTTTTCTGGGGCTTTTTCTCAAACCAGCATAACAATTTTTCTCAAACACTACTGCTAACATCCCAGACACTTATCCACAAATTTCAAAAAGCTAACACATACAGTAGAGACCAAAAGTTGGGCACAACCTTCTCATTCAATGGGTTTCCTTTATTTTCATGACTATTTATAAGGTAAGAAAGCCCACTTATTAACCTGACAGGGCACACCTGTGAAATGAAAACCATTTAAGGCGACGACCTCTTGAAGCTCATCAAGAGAATGCAGAGTGTGTGCAAAGCAGTAATCACAGCAAAAGGTTGCTACTTTGAAGAAACTACAATATAAGGCGTATTTTCAGTTGTTTTACACTTTTTTGTTGAGTACATATTTCCACATGTGTTAATTTATAGCTTGATGCCTTCAGTGTGACCTACCACTCATATTCCCGCTCAGTAGGTGGCAGCACTACTGCAATGCTGGCTGCCAGCCGCCATAACAACAGAAGAAGAAGAAGCAAACGAGAAACATAAACAAGAAACAGAGGAAATCATGCCACATTCTACGAAGAAGGTTCGCCAGTCTGAAGCTATTATGAAGTCAGATTACTACCAAAGACTGAACAGTGTTGCCAGGCGACGCTATGATGATAAAATCTCCGCTGTGGGTGAAGATCCGTATCTAATCCCCCCAACGCAGCAAAAACCCGCCAGAGAGTGTCGCATCGAGGAGCTGCCAGGCCTGTGTTACCCTGATATATTCATGTTTCTCATCGAGGTACCAGGTACGTTGGCTCCTATAGTGGACTGTATACTCGGCAGATAGTCTGCAAACTGTTGGTGCTGCATGCAGGGTACAGCGCAGGCGCACTGAAGGCATACAAGAGCCTGGACGCTTACCGGTTCTTCCTCCGTGGCTGGGTCAGATCTCTGATGCTGTGCACCAGGAAAGACAAGTTCATCATAACCAGCAAGGTGAGACAGACTGGAAAACCTGCTGGGAACCAAAGCCAAGCACAGAATAACTGTAAAATGAAAGGGAACTCTCACATGTCAGAAAATGAATAGTAAACCATTACGCTTTTATTTGGTTTGTGTATTTTCCCAATCAGTCGTCATGGCAGGAACTACGAGCAACCCTCACTTTGCAGTTGTTAGTCTATTCTTCTTTGCAAACCGATTCCACTGGATTGAAAGCAGTTTGCAAGACTTTGACTAGGCCATTCCAAATCATGAATATACTTTGATGTGAGGTTGTTGTCCTGCTGAAAGATGAAGCTCACCTCATCTCTGATCAGCTTCCCAGTCCCTGCTGAAGAAAAACAGGACTTGGGTTTCAATCCCTGCCTGGGGTCTTTCTGAGTTTGTCTGTTGTGTCTGTGTACGTGTGTGTCGTCTCTTGGTATTGCAGCTTCCTCCAGTCCACAAACATGTCTGTTAGCAGCTTTATTCATTCCAAAACTAGTTTAGCTGTGTGCTTGGGAAAATGCACACAGCCACCACTGAGTGGTCCTGTTGGACCACTCAGTGGTGTCCAAATGTTGCCTGTTGGTTCCAAGTTAAGTTGAAGAATTTATGTGGTCATTTTCTTCCATCTACTCTTACCAGTACAAAATGTCACATTTAAAGCCCATTTGCTCTTTTGTTGTCCTGTCAGGTGATCCAGTTTGAAGGCCTTACTGAGAATCCTCATCCTGTGTGGACCATCATCGAGCCCAGTGGCCTCGTCGTTTCTGGTCATTGCACATGTATGGCGAGTTCAGATGTGGTCTGTTCGCATGTTGCCGCCACGTTGTTTGCACTTGATGCATGTAAGTTGCTGTTTTCTCAGAAGTGCTTGTTATATATATGGATCCAAATATTTACATGCAAACTGATGTTTTTTTTTTTTTAAGGTGTGCGCATCCAGCAGGAGAAGTCATCCCCCGCCCTCCAAAACGCTCCGCGTCGCCGGCGGAGTGTGGAACCTGCGCGTGACGTCAACTTTTCATACCCAAATAAGAGGAGAAAGGTGCAGATCAGTTTAAATTAGAGGATCAAAAAAAACTTGTGATGTGGTGCAACATGCGAATGTGGTGTGTGTCCTTTCAGACCATCGATGAGAATTCAAGACAGTCTACACCTTCAGTTCCACCTGCCACAGCGGAGGAAATAAAGCAGTTCTATGACAGCCTCGCCAGTTCAGGTCATTTACGTTGATATGATGGGACGCTGACAAAGACTATTGTGTTAAAGTTGTGCTTTTTTTAAGCTATTCAAGCCTAACATGGCATCTCAATGCTAAACTTGCAGCAGATAGTGGAAAACTGGATATAAATGACATTTTATAGTGACATGTAATTTGGTTTTGGGACCTGATTTACATTTTCTATTTCAGCTTTTCTTAATGCTTGCATACTTTCACAGTCATGAGTGTAATTTTGACTGTGAGAAATGGCATACATGTTTTACATATTTTACAGTTTTAAAGAAATTTCTTTTGGGGCCTTGGAGTTGAACATTTTTCACAACAAAACCTTTTGGCCAGGACTGTAGTTCTTTACTCTTAGAAAGGAATGTTAAAGGAATGTTTTTCTGCTGGAGTTAGACACCATCACATGTTCATGGATAAGAAACTGATGATCATTTCTGTATTTGTTTTGTTGCAGGTGCTAAGAGTGTAGTTTTGTCTGTCCTGCCAGGCTACTGCGAGGAGTTCAACAGTTCCAACTGACATGACCTTTTATTATTTTTTTATATGGATGTATAAATGTATATAAGAACCCCAAACCACAATAATTGTATAAAATGTAACACGAGGCTCCTTTTCTATATACATTACCATTATGTAGATTCAGTTCAGTTTAAAAAATATTTTGTCCCAAAAACACATTAGAAGTTGTAACTCCTCCAACTGTCTTCAACGAGTCATAGTGGATGGTGGTGCTGATGGCAGGAAGGATTTCCTGCAGCAGTCAGTCTCGCAGCAATAGCTTCAACAAGTAAGAGGCCTCTGACTGAAGATAGCTGAACAATGGTCTTGTGCTTCATTGCAGTGGTCTGAGGTTTGATTATTAACCTGGAGAGCTTTGACACATGTCAAAACAATTTTCATTTGAACTAGCACTATATACATCTCATTATTTAGTAGCCGTTTTATCAGTTAGCGGATAATCCTAGATGTAATGATTACCTTTTCTTTAGATTTTATTTGAATTGCTTTCCAGCAGGTGCTCTACATTTTGGTCCTTGGGGATGTTTCCTTTCTAATGGGATCCTGCAGCACTGAGAAGGTCATGCAGTCATTCAAATGTTTTATTTCTCTTGTTTTATTCACACTTCAGTTACTTTAGGTGAACAAACAATGAATGGGAATGAGCAACGTCCTGGTTGAAAAGATGCTCTCTCAAACTGATGGTTCAGTCTTGCCTTTGCATGTGAACACACTGTAAGAGCTACAAAATATACAAATAAAATACCACAAATAACTCAAACAGTGTTGTTCTAAGATTTTATATGAATATTTTACCCCATGTGCTACAATTAAATTTTACAAAATATGTATTTATATTAAATACTAACATTCCTATAAAACACAACGTATTTTAACTGTTGACGGTTGACCAAAGAATATTAGCACCATCTAGTGACTAAATACACCCGTCACACTCAATAGTGAACTACACAGAAAAACTAAACATATATTTACACATTAAAACACTGTCCTTGTTCCCTCATCAACCAAGCGCCAACTTACTGACCGTCTACACCCTAATCTGAACCACCCATCCATCTTCTGCCGCTTATCCGGCAGGTCGCGGGGGTAGCAGCCTAAGAAGGGCGTCCCAGACTTCCCTCTCCCCAGCCACTTCCTCCGGGGGAATCCCGAGGCGTTCCCAAGCCACCCGAGAGTCGTAGTCCCTCCAGCGTGTCCTGGATCTTACCCGGGGCCTGCTCCCGGTGGGACATGTCCGAAACACCTCACGAGGGAGGCGTAGAGGAGGCATCCTAACCAGATGCCCGAGCCACCTCAACTGGCTCCTCTCGTTATGGAGGAGCAGCGGCTCTACTCTGAGTCCCTCCCGGATGACCGAGCTTCTCACCCTATCTCTAAGGAAGAGCCCAGCCACCCTATGGAGAAAACCCATTTCAACTGCTTGTTTCCGCGATCTCGTTCTTTCGATCATTACACAAAGCTCATGACCATAGATGAGGGTAGGAATGTAGAATGACCAGACTTGGAGGAACTGATCCTCATCCCGGCCGCTTCACACTGTTGAGTGTGTATCCTGTATTTAATGCATTGTGGGGACTATTTTTCTGGCACATATTACATTGTTGGGACTCACTGCTCTCAGGTTAGCAAGGCAGAGCATTAGCATTAGCCTTTTAACTTATAGAAGATATTAGCTATTTCTCTTACTTATTAGCCATGTTTAGTATACTGAATGGAGTAAGTCAATTACAGACAACGTGCTCATGATGCCCCACATATAACTGATAGTATTCATACTAACATAAGCATTTTGGCTAATTTTGGCCTTTAAACCACTTTTAACATATTGAATGGTGCAAGTCCATGTTAGTTAACATGCTTGATTACATTGCAGCTTTCTTTAGCAATAATGCTCATTTTTAGCATCAGAACGCTGGGTCCAAATTTCTTCAGGAATTTTCTAGTTGTTAACTAAATTCGCTGTCAATAATTTTCGAAATAGGTGGATCTGATGAATCATTTCCACCCTAGTCCAGGATTCTCCATTATCATTATTGAATGTGTTTGAACTGCATTCACTGATAGATGGTCCATTGTTTTACAGTGTTAGGATTTTGTGAAGCAACTCTTTCCGGGTCAGTTTGAAATTACATTCAAAGTTCTACCACTCTCTTAATCCTGACTGCAACCAACGATGCATTCAAATGTAAATAAAATTAATTGAATATATTTTGGTCTTCACTTGCCCCCTCTTGGTAACTGGAACTCCAGAACAGTTCCACCGTCTCCCAGTCGATTAAAAGTTTTGAAACAGCTGTCACCATCATAATTTCATTGTCATTTACAAACAGGGACAATGACATTTGTATTTTAGGGACCATCTGTATTTTCATGAATTCTGGCACCTACGGTGGCAGATAATGTGAACTGCAGCCACATTAAAAGAAAAAAAAAATGGGTCAAATCACAAATCCATGCAACAGTGCTTCTCTCCAGTCGTCTCCAGATGAGTTGCTAAGCCTCAGACGCAGTGATCCACAGTGTCATAACCGATTTCAAATGGTGCTAGAAGGCTGCAGATGGCTCTAAGCACCAGAGGAAATCAGTTATCTTTTAGTGGCGACATAAAGGGAGAGGCCAGCGCTGGGCTGCCTGCCTGCTGCCAGAGCGATCCTTCTGTCCCCAAGAACACTGATTTCATATGGTGCTAGACAACAGGAACAAACATCTAAACCACCACGTGAAACCAGCTTCTTAGAGAAGGCCTTCTGTGAGCTCAGCTGCAGCCAGGAGATCAACTCTACCCACCAACCTGATCCAGGGAGCACAGCAGAGCTCCTGGAGTTTCCCCTTAAGCCTTGTGTGAAAAAACAAACAAACAGATTAAACAAGAGCAGAGCAACAAGACCAGCTTAAAGAAATAGCAAGAAATTTTTTAGGCCGAGTTAAAGAAACCTTCAGTCTCTGAATAAAGTTAAGATGAAGAAAAAAAGCATTTCACTTGTCCAAATAAACTAATACTCACCTCCCAACAGACTAGGAGACGATTCTGCTGAGAGCCTGCCAGTTGGTCAGACCACCTCAGGAGCTGAGCTGATGGTCACACAGGTGTGTCCACTGGGGCATGATCTGATGCCCTAGTGGCATCTGATTGGGAGGAGTCCGGTCCAAATCTGAGAGCTCTTCTAAATTATGTACAGTTTTCCCAAGAGCAGCTCTACGGAAGACCAAAAGAGCCACAATCCAAGATACCATGGATTAAAATACCACAAACACATGTATTTGTGGTATTTTACATCAAAATGTATTAAAGGAGTAACTGTTATAAACTTTGAATGACCTAATATTTAACTAAAATGTATTCAGGCTGTTAAATGTAGAAATTACCCACTAAAATGACAGTTTCCTCTGTGGTAAAGTCATTAATATTTTTTTTCTGTCTTTTACTATTTTACATTCCAGCGCTGCTTTACAGCAGAAAATCATTCGCAATTATGCTGATTCACTACAGCAAACATATTTTTCATTTCACCAACATTTCTGTATTAAAAATGTGTGTTTGAATGGTTGAGTTTGGGGGAATTCAACTCCAACAGGTGTTAGATGTGTCTCGCCTTCAACGAGGCTTCAGCCACTTGACTCAAGTGCGGTGGACCTGTTTTACTTAACTGAGGGCATTGTTTGCATTTCTATTAACCATAAAATTGTGCAAATTGAAATCACAAAAAAAAAACATTTTTTTGACCGTATTGAAATAGATGGTTTGTTTTAGTTTTTTTCAATGAGCAGCTGAGCTCTCACATCATCACATCATCACATCATTATAAAAAGTTGTATGTTGAATCCATAGGTCTTCTGTAACAACTAGGATTTCCCAAGAATGCCATTCCCAAATCTAAGATACTTGTTACTTCAATGCCTGAATAAGTCGCTGGTGTTTCCTCTGATTGGCTCATATATTATGAGCGCTATCGCTGAAGATTAATTATGAATGTATTCATCGCTGCCGAGATTTGTAATATTTTTATTCGTGCGTGATTTTACTTTTATTTCTTATTTAATGGATGCATCGCAATTGTGAAACTGGGTTCCTTTGATTTTAGCAGAATATCTACGAAGACTTCCAGACAATTGTAATGAGAATATAGACAATGTTTGTTCTGGAGAAGATGCTCACATTTAGGAAAACTGGATAAATCCACAAACACAAGAAAATAACATTCTTTAAAATAACATATCAAAAAAATACATTATTTTTCAAATATGAAATTTGAAAATATTATATTTGAATATACTATTTCAGCTCCTCTAAGGTTGTCTGACTAACTGAGAGGCTAAAAGTCAGGAAACATAACTCACTTATATAGAGTCCATCATGTTCTCACACTGAATGGTTTTGTGTTGCTGCTTCAGACAGGAAAATTCCAGTGACGGCATATATCCTTCAGATTTTAAACATGAATGCTGTTGTCATGGCAGTGCAGTGTCACAGACAGAGAACTGCCCTCCAGCAGCAGGGAGGAGCTCCAACAGAACCAGGCTGACAACTCATGACGGTTCTGCATGTAAGGAAGAAAATCCTAGCAGCTGCTGTCAGCTCTGGACTCGAGCCATAGATCTGACATCACAAACACACAGGAAGGAAGGTAGAAAGGAAGGTAGGAAGAAAGGTAGGAAGGAAGCGCTCACTATCAAGACCTTTCTGTCCAGCTGATGATATTAGGCCCCAGGCGTTTACCCTCAGGCCTAAGGCCAAGTATACAAATATGGAGACATTTGTTTACTTGTTAGATGACGGTCACGAACACAGCAGGGAATACCTATAGGAACTATCAGCACAGAAAGGTCATGTGTCCTTCACACTAGGCCAACAAACTTAGTAAATAAAAAAAAAGAATAATAAAAAAAAAAATAAATATATATATATATATATATATATATATATATATATATATATATATATATATATATATACATATATATAACATGCATATTATATACATTTTATACAAGTAGAGTGAAATATTTCCAGTGTTTCATTCTTCTCATGCTGATGATAATGGCATGAGAACAGCTCCCACACCACTGTTCTTTTAAAAAATTGTTCAGAGGAAGAAATCCCCGACTCAGTGAAAAAGGGGCTGTTGGGCCCTTTTCCTCACGGAGTTCCTGCTGTAACTGCATAGTCAAAATAAAGTGTTGACAAGCTGTTAAAAGCTTTAAAGAGGTTTCTGAGCTATAAAAGTGTGTGAGAAACACACTTACACAGAGCTGCACACGCACACACACACATTAGCAGGACTCCATTCCCTGTTGCTGGAGAAAGGTTTCATTATGGAGTTAAAGCTCTCACTTGTCACTTCCCTCTCTGTGTCTCTGGCTTCCTGTTCCATTTTCTCCCAGGAAGTGACACGCAGTCACACCGCTGGCGTAACCAGCAGGCCAGGCTCCCACGGTTGGCGATGATGTCGCCCTGCTGATCGCTCCTTGCACTGCCTCTGTAGAGGAGAGAGGTCGAGGTGACGTTACACAAAGCGAGCTAATGTCAGGACACATTCTCCCGTTTTGTGATCCCAGTTTTTGCCGCGTCACACAAAAAAAAACACCAATTAGATCTCTGACTCATGATTTGCTCTCAGCAAGATTTAAAGCTTTTACTGCAGAAGATGTGAAAAAAAGATCAATAGGACTGAGAGAGACATTAATCAAGGAGATGGGCAGGATGTTCTTGCCTCACAGCAGCATCTATTAGTCACAGCGCGGCAGCAGAGTGTGCAT